CAGCCAGCACCTCCAGGACCACAGTGGGAAGCACCACAACACCCTCAGCCAAAACTGCTCCAGGAGAAACCTCCACTGTGGCAACTCAGGCTCCAACTTCTGCCACAACCGCTTCCACAACTCCCGAAGCAAAAATAAGAAGCACCACTGGCACCACAGCTGTCTCCACTACCACTGTTCCTCAGTCTGGAACCAGAAGCACCATAGGTGTTATTGAAATAGTTTCTTCTACTGTAGAAAGTGTGTCTACCACTGTTTTTCCCAGAACCTTTAGTTCCACAGTCAGTCCAGGTATGTCCTTGTCTACCTCTGTAAGGTGTATTTCCCAGTTTTTCTTTAGAACGACATTTGTGTCATGTTGGTCTTTGACTTCTACCCCTAAGTGAATCTGTGATTGTATGGTTCTGTCACCATATCTATTTCTTGAAACACATAAACGAATTTTTAATCAATCTGCCCCTCTGACTCTAGTATCTCTGTTAGAGAACTCAGCTTCGTAGTATTAATCCTTAATTTAGGGCAGAAAGTGGTGATATTGAAACTTTTGAAAACTTTAGAGCTAAATGTCCTAAGAGTTGCCAAATGCCACACAATATTCAATGTATAACTAAAAAATTTTCACAATCTCCACTTATGAATAGGTCAAGTATTTGAATGCAACAAAATGTTCACTCGTTTTGCTAGAATGCTGAAAAGACCTCTTGAATGTATTAAAATTCTTATATAAAATCCTGTGCTGCAAATTAAATTATTATTTGTATTTAACAGTTGCTACAACTGGTACATCACAATCAAGTCATATTACAACAAGCACTTCTGCAATATTCAGTTCTTCCACCAGCACATCTGTGACAACAGAAGCCAGTACCCATACTGCGTCCAGCAGAGTAACTCCATGCTTTTGTCATGTATTTGATACTTTATTTTCTCCTGGTAAGTGTGTTATTTTTTGGTTATAAAATTTTTTATAAGCAATATAAACCCTTAAGACACTATTCAAGTAAGGAATAGTGTCTTAACCACTCAAAATAATCTAAACATGGAACTTTTTATAGATGAACACACTTTATATTTTCACAGTATTTTCCTGGTTTTTCTCCCTAAGTATTTTCATTTGTCTTGTAATTTCTCCTCCAATTTTCCTCTACAGGCGAAGTGGTATACAACAGAACAGACAGAGCTGGCTGTAATTATTATGCACTTTGCAGCAAGGAATGCGAAATTGAGCCATTCCAGGGGCCATGTCCTTTGACAACTCCTGTCCCTTCAGTCGCTTCAACAACTACAACACAAGGCACCTCATCCACAGATCACATACTGTCTTCTGCCTCACCAACCACAGCAACATCCCTCACAACTTCAGCAGAAAGAAACTGTACTGACGTCAATCCTCCACGAAAGGTGGTTCCCCTCCTTACTTTCTAATATATCACTGTTGCAAAACCAGCACAATTTCTGTCCTCTAATAGCCAATTCAAATCAACCTCTAAGTATTTCAATAAGGAAGTTGGTTGTGTAACAAATGACCTGATAACACACAATTCTTTAACTTGGTATTACCAGGTTATTTTAAGTAATCTGTAGGTGGAAAAGCTCACTAAGACCATGGCAGACCATTTGTTTATAATAAAAGACATTTAAATGTCATAGAAATAAGCAGACTATGTATGAAAAGTAAAGTATATTTCTTTTTATGCAGAAGAAAATTGTTCTCAGCATTCCTGCTCTTAATAGTATGCTAAGAAAACTCTAATCTGAACTTCCCACCAATTTTGAGTCTATCTTAAGCTGAAACAAAACAACTAGGGCTAGAAAGAGCATTTGAGAATAAATCATTTACATACTTTCAGCCTGGAGAGAGCTGGATAAGTGAATGCCAGAAGTGTGTCTGTGACTCCCTCACTGCTACTGTGCAATGCCAGCCGCTCCCATGCCAAACAACAAAGGAAACAACTTGTGACCTAGGATTTGTCTCCATGGTTGTACTACCACAAAAAGACCCATGTTGTCCTGAATTTAAATGCCGTAAGTATTAAAAATACATATATAAACACCACACTACACGTTCCAATAAATTACATTTGCACTTCTGTTGATACCTAAGGAAGTTCTTCATGTATCACAATAATAGCAAAACCTTAAGTTGTTCTGTCTCAGTGAACACACATCAATTTTTGGCTAAATGTGCATTAGATCTTTATTTAAAAACGAAACGTTATTTTCAATTAACTTTGATGAAAGAATGGGTGGGATAGCAGGATAATACTTTGAACCTTCATGAAGTCTATATAGCTCAACTATCTCTGCATCTGTAATCATAAATGTTGTCAATGCATTTTTTTAAATGTTATTAATGTAACGTTGGAGCACATTAACATTAGCCCAGCTGCAGCTAAACTAAGATGCATAAACATAAGAATAGTACAGCAAAAAGCTTAACAATTAACTACAAGAGCAAGTAACAGGAAGCAATAATACAAAGTGAAGCGTTATCAGTAATTGAATTGCCAATGTATGAAAAAAAATAATTATACTTACAATGTCGTTGAATGCTCATGAAAATTTAAAAATCCTACAGCTATACAAGTTTATTTATATACATAAATTTTTATATACATATATGTGTGCAAAAGAATAAAAAGAAAAAAGTACCCATAAATTAAGCTTGAAACAGGAAAGTCAAAACAAAGGAACAGGCAAGTTTGAAGTGGTTCTGTGAAAGACACTCTTTTTCGACTCAGAGTCAGTATTCCATCCAACCACATTCTGAGAGGTCATAAAGAATCAGTAACTAAAGCATCTTTGAATATTATTGGACTGGACTTCTAAGGTTCAAAGAGGAAACAACTAATTTAATTTGAAGTGAATCAGATATTGAAAGGGCAAAAAAGGGATTTTTCATGAATAGCTTGAGTTTGAAGCCATTTCTCACCAACTCTTCTAGCTAATCTCAATGACGAAACTTTACTTAAACATCCACTACCTATGAGGTCTAAGCATGTAGGAGGATTGAATTCAAGTTTTCCATACTCTCTGTGTTACTAACAAAACTTGATAACATCTTGACTTCTCAGGAAGTCTCACAGTTTGAGTTTACTCTGGAATAATTTTTTGTTTTGTTTTTCAGAACCAGTACCTGATGTCTGTGTGATTAACGGTACATTGTACACGGTGAGAATATTATAGCATTGTATAGTATATTGCTGGAAGTGGAAAGTACATCCTTTCTACCAAAATAAGTCTTTGAGAAAGTTCTTTTCCCAGCACATGTGGGTTTTTTATCTCTCACCCTTAACTGGGAGTTTTTCAGTTTTTTTAATGTCAAAAACAAATTGATCCCAGAAATGTTCCACAACGTGTAGCAGAAAAGAAGAGTGTACTATTTTTAGTGCTGTACTTTCTTTTTTAAGCTCCCTCCTGCTTCTGGAACTAATGAATTTCCCAAACAATCTGATGAATAGCACAAACTCAATGAAATAAGCACAGAGAACCTTAAAAAAACAAAGCTAGCATTTTTGCTTTAATTGACACCCTAAACCTTTTTGCTAAAATTGGTATTTAGGTCACTAACTCAAAACTGAAGCATTAGCATTGGAGCCTTTGGGGATCCATTTCAAAAGACTAAAATCCATGTGTAAAGTTATACCTCTACTTATGTATATGCTTATTTTAATCTCCATTTTCAAATTACAACCACTGAACATGACTTATAGAGAAAAAATATTCTTAAATGGAGCATTGAAAAGCTGGGAAAATAATGAGACAGTATAAACTAGTCTTACCTTCATTTTATTAATTTACTCTTCTTTTTTACATTGCTTCATTTAGTTTCCTCTTACTGTGTGCTTTCCTGCAAGGCTTGAAGCCAAACAACTCTGTGTTCAAAGAGAGTTGAAGAACTCAGGAGCACTTGGATTTCAGCAATCTTAATGGTTCTCAGCAATGTGTTCAACTCTGCCTATACATTATATGGAAACTGTTGCCATTTGAATGTTGGGGTTTTTTTCTGTCTTCCAGGTTGGAAAGTCAGTAGTAATCAATTCATGTAAGAAATGTACCTGCAGTTCCGAGAAAGATCCAGTGACTAATGCTAACACTGTGCATTGTGAAACGGTTCAGTGTGAAACATCTTGCCCACTGGTGAGTTCAGATTCTCTAGGCTGCCCAGTCAGCCCTCAGTTACAGCACGACTAGAATTCTCCATCACCAATTCAACATACTTTCTTTTTCATCTCCTTATGAGTAGGGTTATCAATATATGACTGAGGAAGGAGAGTGCTGTGGGAAGTGTATCGAAGTAGCTTGCAAAGTCAAACTAAGTAACAACACTGTTCACGTACTCAATGTAAGTATTCCTTTCAATTTCAGATCTCTCTGTTAGCTGATATAACAGCTAAGAGTCAATTTATGTCCCTTACTAGTAAAAATATAATACTGAAATTACTCGGAAAACAACACACCAGCTTTCTGAACTGAACACTTACTTGGAACGACAAATTCTTGAAAAGTGTGGTTAATGGGGCAATGATTTCTAATTTGGGGTCTGAGTGTTCAGATCCAGGATTTAAACTTTCAAGTTAGCTGCAGTTTGCAGAATTTCATTTTTGCCACTTGAAAGAACTTCAGAAGCATCTAAGAACCTCTGAGGTATGAGAACTTAATTAGCTCCGACATACTTGATGACAATGAAAAAAACTTTTGCTTTTCTTATAAAATCTTAGGTTAATGAGATCCTGCCACTTGACCAATGCAGCCATTACAGATGTGAAAAAATCGAAGATCAGTTTGTTGCAGTCCAAAGTAAGAGAGTATGCCCTGACTACGAGCCCGGAGAGTGTGATCCTGTAAGTTTTAATCAATTCTTCACTGATTGAATGCAATTCAAAAGAGCAAGGAGGGACAAGGAAGAATACAACAAATTAGTTTCACTGAAGTTGCAGAAATGTCTTAAGAATGAAATTAGTCTTGTTGCAACATTAGTAATAAGAAAGGCTTAGTATTTTTTTATGAGGCTACAAGGATTCAAGACTTCTATGGTGAGGACAGCAAGTCATTCATTTTTTCATTCAGGGTTCATCACAGAGGAGCTTTCTGCCCAGTATCAATACTGCTAACTCATATTCTTACTCATGATTGTCATCCATGCACTAATACAAATCCTCCTTTACTTTTACAAAGGATGAAACAGAGACTACGTCCGATGGCTGCTGCAAAATATGTAAACGTAAGTAATGCTGTGTTTATGTGTTCTACTTAAAGAGGATTGTGTTCAACTTCTAACTATCTTTGAGTGGATGGAGGGATTCTTCACTCCCCGTTTTCACATATTCTATATACGAAGACCCTGTGTTTCACTATTTATTCAAAAGAAAAATGCAGATTTGTTTTCCTGATACTTAATACCACAAATCAAACCTGCAATGCTCAGGCCTCTGCATTATTTTCCAAAGACACTTTTAGAGCTGAAATCAAAGAATAATCTGAAAACTCCAGATACCTTACACAGCACCCACTCCCCACCCCATCACATACTGCCGATTCTCAATAATCAAACATCCTGCACTTTGAAACTGTTAGCATTCCTTTAGTTCTGAACTAGAGATTTGAAATATACTTTCCCCTCTTCTTTTTATGAAGCTGCAAAATGTAAGCCTTACAGCAAGAAAACTGTGATCCGCCATGCTGGCTGTGAGTCTTCTGAACCTGTTGAGCTGTCATATTGTGAAGGAAATTGTCCTGGCTACTCAGTGTAAGTTCTAAAGATTAATTTAACATCTCTGTGGCTTCATTTATACTTCATTGGTCTCTCACAGGGAGGCTCATGGGAGACCTTACTGCTCTCCACAACTACCTGAAAGGAGGTTGTAGTGAGATGAGGAGTTGCACCAGGGGAGCTTTAGATTGGATGTTAAGAAAAATTTCTGCACTGAAAGGGTTGTCAAGCATCAGAACAGGCTGCCCAGGGAAGTGATATTTAAAAGACATGCAGATGTGGCACTTCAGGACATGGTTTAGTGGTGGACTTGGCAGTACTGGGTTAATGGCTGGACTCGATCTGAAAGGTCTGTTCCAACCTACATGATTCTATGATCACAGAATAGCAACAAAGTTAATGTGTTTATATGATTCCATTGAATTGAATCAGATTCAATGGAAGCAAGAACAGTTTCACTACTGAAGAGACAAGTAATTAAAATCACATTCATAAGTGTGTCTGAGAGGGAGGAAAAGAGGATGTATAAAAAAACAAAAACCAAACCAAATACCCCCAAAAGAAAAGTCACTGAGCAGGTTCTGTGTGTCAATTTTTACTGAGATGTTTTTTTTTTTCCTGGTGGAACACAGGTATTCTCTTGAAGCAAACCAGATGCAACATGAGTGTGGCTGCTGCCAAGAGCTCAGCACCCAAACGAGAGAGGTGACCCTGACTTGCCAAAATGGAACAAGCATAAATTATAACTATGTATATGTGGAAAAATGCCAGTGTACGAATGGTTGCTCTTCACAAACCTCTGCATCACAAGACTCCCAAACACAACAATCTGAAGAATACGGCTCCCAATTGCAACAGGCTGCAGCATTTGTTTCCCAATGGCAAACCAGCACAAGTAATAAGATGTATCGTTGAAAAAAGAAAGCAGAGA